AATTAATATATTTATAAATTAATATCGACTTGCTCATCTCTCTACTATGACACTATTTCTGATCTCGTTTTCTTATTTTCTCTCATCCAATACTTTTTCTTTTTTCTGTAATGTCTTCGTTGCTATTTTATGTAACTAAATATTACATATATCACTGTAACTATTATATTTATAAATTAATATCGACTTGCTCATCTCTCTACTATGACACTTGTCATTGATCTTGTTTTCTCATTCAATTCTTTGTTGCTTACTTGACTTGACTCAAATACTAAAGTTAGAAATTAAAATCGAACGTGGTTAAGGTTGGCACAGAGCCAACGAGTTTCTTCTTTCTGCAAGGAAATGGAACTCTCTGATGAAGAAAAAGACTGTAGGATTTCCTCCTGGCGGAAGCCTCTTACGGTACCTCGAGATTGCTCGTTCAATAAAATCGTATTACCACGGACAGAAATGGGGTGGAGGAAAGAAGTGAATGGCGGTTCGATTACCTTGATCGGTCGAATCCCGTACGGCGGCTTTGCAGAGTTCTATACGAGCAGAGTGAAGCGGCACGTATCGATCCTGCGCGCTGCCGCACAGCAGCACGTGTTTGAACTTCTCGAGGTTGCTCTTCTGGCTGAGGCGGAACATGAACGACCGTCTGACATCCGGCGCGTCTTTCATCGCCAGCTGGAGCAACGAGCCGGACTTCTTCAGCTTCTGCATGAACCACATGCCTGGACGGGACAAACGTTCGTTTGCAAAGAGATTCAAGATGATGAGACGAGACGATGATTAGCAACGAATTGAACAGAACGTGAACCTCACCTGCGTTGACTAGTCCGCTGGTGTTGTACAGCGTGCCCAAGTGCGGGCCGCTCAGGCTGAGAAAGGTGTGCAAACGGGGAAGAAGCGGCCGCAATTGAGGCCGCGTCAGAGCGCTTCTTATGATGATGGTCCCTAAAGAATGCCCGATGAAGCTCACTTTCGTCGGATTGAGCCCCGACGTCTCGATGTGATGCAGAATCTCGGCTACCAGTCGATCCGTCATCGTGTCAAAGTCCGAGAATGTGTCGCCCTTTGAAGAAATTTCCGCGAATGTAACGTGTAGTGTAACGCTTCGTTGAGTATTGATCAACCTCCTGCCACGCACGCCGAGGACTTTCTGTCCCAAATTGCAACATTCTCTCAGTTTTAAGTATATATTTCAGTGTAACCCAGGCGAAAACAAATGGCAAGTTTGGTACTCATCAGTACCGACGAGTTCGGAGAAGAAAAGGAAAGCGACGAATCGTTGTGTACGGTCGCGGTCACTCGTTATGGTCCGCGTATCAGTTACCAGCGCAAGGGAAATAATTAAATGATAAGGAAAGGTAGAGAAATTAACTCGCGATAAAGAACAAAGTAGACTCTCACCTGATTCCTCTCGGACATTAAAAAGTCGAGATGCGCCCCGGGAAGGCTGAGTTCCAGGTAGGTCTTGACCAGACGAAGGTCAGCAGGGTTGCCATCGAGGCCGTGCACGCAGATGATGAGATGGGCACCTTCCGGCGAGAACAGCCGATACTCGTTGCTGATGTGGAAGTACGGCATGGTCGAGGCCAGGGTCGTATAGTCACTAAGAGGCACATTCGATCTTAGAGGTTTTACCGACGACGGGGTCAGGAAGTCACCGTATCCAAGGGAATGGGCACGTTTATGGAAACGCAACTGCGCTTCCTTGCGTTCTCTAGAGGGGATCAGGTAGACAAAGAGAAAAAACTTAACTACGGAGAAACGCAAAGAGTTGCCGTACTTTGAAGAGAACTCAAGAACAAGCAGGGCTCGGTGGGGGGGGGCTTGCGAACGAAAACGAAGACAGAGCAGCGCAGAAAAAAATATAATAATCGCACGATACGAAAGTATTCAGCATTGAGTTGCTCGGAAAGTTCGAGAAGTTGGTTCACCTCGTGTCAATTCTTCGGGATGTGCCTTCCCTGAGCTTCGTTTCGAAACGAACTTTTCGAGCAAGCCACGTGGCTGAGAAACGGAAGGAGCTACATGGAGCTGAGAGAATCTTCTAATGGCTAATCTACGTGACCAGTCAGGTGAAATCTTGAACGAAACGAACTACGTGTAACCTGAAGGTGAAGCGTTGGGAGTCTACTTTAGAAAACACTTTGCTCTAAACACTTTTTAACCCGGGGTCTAGTGCAGGTACATCCACGTGGGGGTCTAGTGCCGGGAGTACCCACGTGGGGATCTAGTGCCCGGAATACCCACTTGGGGGTCTAATGCCTGGAGTATCCAGGTGGGGGTCTAATGCTGGGAGTTCCCACGTGGAGATCTAGTAGACCCCCACCATTAGCAAATCTTTTCTAGTTTCGTTTAGCTTCGTCATGAGTTGTTTACATTCAGCGTTCTCAGTTTTCCTTAATATCTTCGACCTTTTTCATAGATTTACGCAGTACTGTAGGCTTACTCCAAATATTAGACCCTCACGTGGACATCATCGGGACCAGACCCCACGTGGATAATCCTGACACTAGACCCCCATGTGGGTGTACCTGAACTAGATCCACACGTGGATAATCCCGGGTTAAAATCATTCCCTCCTAATCGCCGTTAGGTTAGTTAAAACAGTCGTCGACCAATCGACCCGTTGACCAAAAGTCCGTCTCAACGCACCTGTAGATCTTCCCCGAGAAGCTCATCTGCCTCTTGAACTCCTCCTTGCACTTCTTGAAGTTGACCGAGTCGTCCAGCGTCGACTGCAACAGTTCCTTGCCCTCTTGGTAACAGTCCAGGCAAATGTCTCTGGCCCCGTACGGAGGATCCCTCTCCCTCTCCCTCTCTCTGTCCCTGTTCTTCTGCGGACTGCACGGCGCGGTTTTCGTCTGCTTGGGACTCCTGACCGGCTTGACCGTCTCGTAGACGTGGTACAAAGGGTTGTCGATGATGGCCGGCGGGTCGCGAAACTCCTCCGGTGGCGGCGGCTCGTCCTGAAACATCTTCGGCGGCGGGAGTCGCACTTCTTCGTACGAGTGCTCCTCCACGGTCTCCTTGGCCGGTGTCGGCCTCTCCTTCCTCGGCACGATCTTCGACAGTTTCTGGCGCAGCTGCTCGCTCGACAGCTTGGCGTTGCGACGCTGCTCCGAGCTGGACGTGTCCCCGCTGCTGACCCATCCGGAACACTCGGACGTGAGGTTGCTGGAACTGGAGCTGGTGGTCGGGCTGCTCGGTCTGCTGGACGGCGGGCTGAGAGGATTGGGAATGACGGGAAGGTTGTTGCTGAGGCTGTCCTTGCTGTCGCGTATCGGCATGCAGGGCAACGACACCGCGCTCCGCGGCACCACCACCTTGTTCTGCGCCACAGGCACGCTCGCGCACCTCAGTCTTTTCACGCTTGGCGCCGGGGCGCCGCTGGACACGTCGGACGGCGTTGTCCCGTTCGTCGCCGGTGCATCCAACGGGGACTTGATCGGCTCCACCTGCACAGGCAAACGTAGAATGTTACAACCAGCAATCTGTTGGCTTCGGTAAAAAGTAATTTTAATATTTAATATTTAAGCAACATTTTTAACATTACCTGAATATATCAAGTAATATTAAAAATAATTTATAAGTAATATTAAGTAATACTAAAAATAAAATTATAAGTAATATTAAGTAATATTAAAAATAATTATATTTAAGTAATATAAATATAAATATATTACTTATTAATGTAATATAAATATAAATCTA